GTCTGCACTCTGCAGTAACTCTGAAAAAGCTTTTATTTCTGTAAGAAGTATATGTAAGAAGTATCTGTGGTATATAAATAATATGTATTCTTGCAATTTGGTGCACAACAGTAACGTGAGATCATTCCAGACATTTTCTATTAAAAAGTAAAACAAGCAAAAGCAGTAAGACAATTCAGATGAAAGATTCAACAATTATAATTATCTTCTTGTGTTACATTAAATTTTAGTCTAAAATAGAAAACAATTATTATCAAAAGCACGGTAACTTACGAGTTAATTAGTCATAATACAACCACTTTCTAATCTGTGAATACAACATAGANTGCGATGCCAAAACGTTCTGGTAATAATAACGCAGTTTATAAATGTTTAATTCAAAAGTCATAAATAAACTTCTTCTGTTTATAACTTTTGATCTAATCAATATTTTTTGTCGCTCGAGGGCTAGTTTTGTAGGTCTTTTAAAGACGAAAAAAAAGTACATTACTGTTATTTCCGTGAAAATGAACGGGAAAAAGTTATAAGCGAAAAACGAATTTACAATCTTCCCCCATATTTATGACTGGAAACTAATATATTATTGTACATAATATTTAGCATCTAAGTGATAAATTCAGCTCGCCGAAACAAAAAGTCGCGAAATAATCTTTCCCAGCTTATTTTGCTGGAGTATTTATTATTCATCCTCTTCAATTTGAGCTATTCAAGAACTTTGTACGATGATTTGTCGCTGACTTATCGTCGCTCAAAGCAAAAATTAACTTTTTGGTTAAATACAAAATTTGTTACCTTTTTTTAGAATCAAGTTTCTTTCATCGAAAAAAAAATTTTTATCAAAAAACTACAAGAACGTCTTACAGATGATACTTTGAAGTTTTCAAAACCCTGCTTAGATTTTCTGTACGTTCATTTGTTCCCGAATAAAAAATAGTAATCTCTATTGATTGAAATTTGATTTTAGTCACCAAAAACCAACTTTTAAAACGCCTGCGGAACTGCAGCTGTTGGACAAAGTATCTTGTACCTTAGAAACGGCAAATGTCAACATTTTATGTTTTTTTTTTTGAAAAAATACACGCCTGACGGCTTTTCCGAATTTCCAGGCAGCAGCACGGCCTGCGTGGTCCTCCTCAACAAGGAGAATAGCACGCTGTACACGGCTAACATCGGCGACAGCGGGTTCATGGTTGTGAGGAGAGGGCGCGTGATCCGCCGCTCCGAGGAGCAGCAGCACTACTTCAACACGCCCTTCCAGCTGTCGCTGCCGCCGCCCGGATACCAGCAGGACGTGCTCAGCGACAGACCGGACGCCGCCATCACGGACAACTTCGCCGTGGAGGACGGCGACGTCATCCTCGTGGCCACGGACGGCGTGTTCGACAACCTGCCCCAGAACCTCATCGTCAACGAGCTGGTGAAGGTGAGTAGTCCGCCAAAATAATAAAAAATTATTCGTTGTCAACCACGGGCGTCGGGTTCGTACACTGACTGGACGTACAGGGCTTTCAGTGAGGTCGCTTAGGTCATTTTTTCAGGTAACAGATGAAGCTAAGATCTCATACCACTTTAAACATATTCAAAATAAAGATTACTTATTTTAAATTAAGAATTATAATTATATAATAAAATTACCCAGTACGGCAGCTGTAATAGGGAATTTTTGTATTGTCTTTAACTTTCAATATGAATTTTACACTGATAGGAGCCCCATCACAAAAAATCGTTTCACGAACACTTTCAATAATTTGTTATAATAGCTTGTACGGGACAGTTTTGATATTTTTTTTAGTTGTAGCGACCCGTATCGTCTCGTCTCGTTATCTTGATTTTTAGTCCAAGCATTATAGAGAAATGCTTACAGAAATTATTACCTGGACAAAAAAATATGACCGTATGGAAAATTAAATTTTAAATTGAGTTTTTTGTTCTTTAAACTCGATCCGAAATGGCGAACATGGTTTAAAAAATCGCAAAGTTGCAAAAAACGGTTTTTTCTAAAATAACTAAAAATTATAGCACCGACTAAAATATTTTAAATGAGAAAGTTGTAGGATTTAAAAAGATCTATCGACTGATTTTTTGTAAGTATCGATTGCTTTGTTACTTTTCGAGATATATCGAAAAAACCGTTAAAAATCTTCTATTTTCTCTTCATCTATAACTCGTTAACATTTACGTTCCCGTACTTGCTATTTACTGCAAGCATAGCCTGCGGCAAGCCAAAAATGTACATTTTTGAAAAATTTTAATATCATTTTTTTTTTCGAGATATATCGATTTTTTTAAAATAAGACGCTCTCGAAAATTGGCTAGATCTTCTCAGCGGATAGTCCTACAGTAACGATTTTCGGTTTATTTTCTTCGTAAAGAGTTATATTATCATGCTGTTAAAAAATGTTGACGATTTTATTAATTTTAAGGATCAAAAAATGACTGAAAAAGTTGCACTTTTTTTGGGTATGTTTTTTTCAAATAACTATTTCAATTTTTATTATTTTTTTGTACTTAATCTGGGGTAGCTAAACACGAATATTATAGCATTTTCGCCTTAGAAGCAAAATAGACCCGTAAATGTTTAGTTTTCTTTCTTTAAAAGTCATTTTCATAAAATAAAAATTGAAATAGTAATTTGAAAAAAACATACCCAAAAAAGTGCAACTTATTCAAAGTCATTTTTTGATCCTTAAAATTAATAAAATCGTCAACATTTTTTAACAGCATGATAATATAACTCTTTACGAAGAAAATAAACCGAAAATCGTTACTGTAGGGCTATCCGCTGAGAAGATCTAGCCAATTTTCGAGAGCGCCTTTTTTTCAAAAAATCGATATATCTCGAAAAATAATTAATATTTTTAAATTTTTCAAAAATGTACTTTTTTGGCTTGCCGCGGGCTATGCTTGCAGTAAATAGCAAGTATGGGAACGTAAATGTAAACGAGTTATAGAAGAAGAGAAAAGATAAGATTTTTAACGGTTTTTTCGAGATATCTCGAGAAGTAACAAAGCAATCGATACTTACAAAAAGTTAGCCGATAGATATTTTTAAAACCTACAACAATCGGTGTTATATTTTTTTAGTTATTTTAGAAAAAAACGTTTTTTGCAACTTTGCGATTTTTTTTTAACCGTGTTTGCTATGTTGGATCGAGTTTAAAGGACAAGAAACTCAATTTAAAATTTAATTTCCTATACGGTCTTTTTCTTGTCCAGGTAATAATTTCTGCAAATTTAACATTAAACCGTGACAGAATGTTTGGACTGTTTTGGCGGTTTTGTTTGAAGCAATAAACTTTTTTGTTTGTGAAAATCTTTGCAACGACGTTTCTTATACAGCTGTATTTTTCTATAACTAAATAATTTATTCATAATTCAATTGCTTCGTAAAATTGTTAGGTATTCTATGAATTTACTATGAAAAATAATAAATAGTAGTGCTTGCTGTAAACCGCAATTAAATAAAATATTACTATTTACAAAATAAACATAGTTTAAACAAAAACATTTTGCAAGGGAGAGTCAATACAACATGTGTTAAAATGGTGCTCCATTCTGTTGTAGACGAAATCTACATCGTTTTAAATATTATTTACGCTAAANCAAGTATCCTATATTGATAAAATTATTTATCGAATGAAATTCTTCTTTTCTTTGTCGGATTGTCTTTTGATTCAATCATTTTCTTGTTCGTCTTCCATATTTTCGTGAAGTATAATAAAAGTAAAAAAAATGTAAGTTAAATGAAAACTAAACAATTACGGGATTATTTTGCTTCTAAGGCGACAATGACTATAATATTCGTGTTTATCTCGTCAAGCTACCCCAGATTATGCACAAAACGATTTTTGTACGTGGTTCAGAAGCCGAGATATCAAAGATTTTGCAAGTGCGAGCCATTTAGACTGCACGTCATCAGTTTTTAGAGCGAGCGCGCGCCGCTTCACCCTACTTCTCCGTCCGGTCAAGCTGACGCACTCAGCGCTTGCACGATGTTAACCTCCATCAAGCGCATCGCTGTAAAATGTTAATTGCGTCCTCAATTTTTTTTTTTTAAATAAAAGAATTATCTCGGCTCCAGAAGGTCGTAGAATTTTTTTTTAAATTCGTGAAAAAATGTCAGCAGTTTCTTTGTTTAAAAGTCATTTTCATAAAATAAAAATTGAAATACTTATTTAAAAAAACATACCCAAAAAAAGTGCAACTTTTTCAGTCATTTTTTGATCCTTAAAATTGATAAAATCGTCAACATTTTTTAACAGCATAATAATATAACTCTTTACGAAGAAAATAAACCGAAAATGGTTACTATAGGGCTATCCGCTGAGAAGATCTAGCCAATTTTTGAGAGCGCCTTTTTTTCAAAAAATCGATATATCTCGAAAAATAATTAATATTTTTAAATTTTTCAAAAATGTACTTTTTTAGCTTGCGGCGGGCTATGCTTGCAGTAAATAGCAAATATGGGCACGTAAATGTAAACGAGTTATAGAAGAAGAGAAAAGAGAAGATTTTTAACGGTTTTTTCGATATATCTCGAAAAGTAACAAAGCAATCGATACTTTCAAAAAATCAGTCGATAGATCTTTTTAAAACC